GAATTAAATACATTTTCTTTACAAAAATGAAGATGATGATTTTTTTTTTTTCATGTCAGTAGTCCAGAAAACCAGAAATATAGTTTGGAGAGAACCCCCACACCCAGTTTTGATTAGAACAACTTTCCTTTACCGTGTAAATGAACATGTTAGCTTTTAAGTTGTATTGAATTCAATTTTGAACGGGCCAGGGCATTTTTTTTTAAGAATACAGGCTTAAATGTCGGAATTCTCTTGTCTTCCATGAAACAATTATTTAAAAAAAATAGTTTTCTTTCCCAAGATCTTTTTTTTTTAATGGGGACCCATTCATCACCTGAAACCCACTCAAATCACCACCCATGGGTTCCAGGTACTCACAACACTGAAAGCCTTTTAACATCACTGCAAAACTTTGAAATGTTTCAATTAATGTAAACAGATTTTTTTGTAATTACAAATATTGCAACAACTCTTAATAACCTTCTAACACAGCAGCAATCTTATTGCTGTTAAAAACATAATCATACCTCCTACATTGGTACTGCAGCTTGGACTACTAGTATGCTTAACACTACTAAAAAATAAAAGCTGAATGAATGTCAGGCTAAGAATCTACACAGCAGATTACTGAGGTTTTTATACCTGGTTAAATAAACATTTTGTCTGCAATCTTTAATGCTTGGTCAAGTAAAATGACATCACTCACTTTATTTAGTTTCACATAGAAAGAATTGCTCTGCTTGTTTCCGGGTGTGCCACAGATTGAACAATTCCCCTCCTCTTGTTTTACATGATCTTTGAAACACACACAAATACACGCCCCTCTACCCAAAACCCTAAACCCTGACTGAAACTAGGGAACAGGCCCTGTTCATGATTTTCTGCAACAGACAAACCTTGAACATTGACCTGACCCATGGCAGGACTTATGACCAAGTTGTATCTTTAAATGAAAGTTATTATTTTACTTCATTAACAGACACAAAAGCAGCTGTACCTGCTGACTGAAACCAGCTGGAAAATTAGTGAACCAGAGGCTACAATTTAAGGTTCTTCTCTTCAAGTTAGAAGTCTGGATACAAAAGAAAATCAAGGATTCAACTTCAACAGTTATTAACAATAGCTTAAGAGGATGATAAACTATATTCTTTAACTTAATCACCAAAACCACCTTCAAAACTTGTACCACCTCAAAATTTCTCAATGCAAACATTCCAAGAAATGTTTATTTATGATTCCCTACGTCGTAGGACCTTGTTATCTATAACAAAATGTGAATTGCGGTCAAAACACAGTAATAGATTATTGCTCAAGTCACAATTTCTCAAAAGCATGGACCAAACATCTGCACAGAAAATTCCTGAAACCCTTAGCCCTAAACGATTATTTGTCTAATGAAATGCATGAGAACAGTTGATGCTGCCGCTAATATCGCTTGTAAAACGGGGGCCAATACCTTATACTGATTATAATGGAGCCTACTGATAATACAGACTTTTCTGTTTTTATTCTAAGGCGACCCTAACACAGCAGATGTGACAGTGCTGCATTTAAAGCATTGCCCCAACAAACACGGGGAAAAGAAAGAGTTTCCTCCCCTGTTTAACTTGCTTGATACAACAGTGTCGGGTTGAGATGCCATGCTAATCTTGATTCTACCCACCACACCCAGAAGACTAAAAACAGTCAGTGCATGCAATATTGCCTACAAACCAGTTTTGGTTGAGCCACGGGTTTGAAGTACGACACAACAGAAAGCTAAGTTATCCTGCTGTGAGTTAAGCATCAAATAAACAAGAACACTTTCACAACAACTGCCGTGTTCATTTCACTATCTGAGATATAAAACCAAATGTTTCAAATATAAATTAGGGTTATGTGTAGACTTTCCTGTCATAGCTCCTCCTACTTCCATAGGTTTTAATCTGTTCTGTCAAATAGCATAGATCCCTAAATGACAACAAAAAATGTGAGTTTTAAATGTTATGATTTCTAAATGAAAGGACAGCACAAAGTACTTAATGTCAGGTAACTGTTACACATCTTAAAGAAAGCAGGTGACAAAATCTCATGATTCTGCTTTTAAAAGGTTAACTTGATAATTAACATCAGCTCCTACACATGGGATGCAAATAAAGAATTCTGACCAACGGTCTCCAATGAGTGATGGAGCATGGGAATTAGCCTGTTGGTTAAAAATAAAAGGTGGTAGACAATCAATGAAATTTCATGCCAATTTACTTCTGGTGTAAACAAAGGGTACCACATGCAGTCCAACCCAAAGTCCACGTGAAACCATGGGAAGAATAAAAAAAAATAAAAAATCAGGGGACAAAAGTGAAAAATCACATCCCCGAGGGAAATACATTCCAGGATCATCCCATGTTGGGAAAGGCTTAGGGTGTTATCTGGGTTCATCAGGACGGCTGGCCTCCATCCAAGGATAACTCAGTCATGAAGAGGGGAGCTCTGACCGGACATTTCAAAGTTTACTGACGAGATGTCCCTTTAATTACGTAATCTGGGACAGCGCTGGTGTAGTCCTTTATCATAGTCAGGCTAGAATGCATCACAGTAAAGAATCATTGAAGCTGATTGTTCATGGTAACATCACACTTCTCCAGTAATATGACCATCCATAATTACTACACTTTAGGCCAAAGTATGCTAAGAGTTATCAAATTTTGTGAACAGACAGTTTCTCTCAGGATCGCTCTCTCTTTTTTTTTTACTTTTAACAAAGCTTTTAATTTCAGTGCAACTCTATCTCTATTATCTCTATCACAGACACTGGGTGCAGAGTGCATGCTGTATAGCAACTGTTGTGTCTTGAAACTGTCAGCATGTCATCACTGCTTAAAGAAGGTCTTGTACATTTAGCATGTGATGATTCAGTTGTATCCAAGTATTGTATTGTGTTTTTAAGTACAAACCAGCTCATCTTTAATTTTCCAGTTAAAGTAGAGTGTCAGTTCACTTTTTATTTCAGATTTTAATGTTCAGTTACTCTCAAAATACTTATTTTCAAGCATTCCATAAAAAACCCTTTTAACAAAAGTCAAGTGAACATTTATGAAAGAATAACTGCAGGCAAAAGCTTTGCTTAAAGGGTCTTACAGGTAAAACCAGTTGGACCCAGAATGTTGGATATCACATACAAACACTTTTGTGAGGACATCATAGAGTATTTAGCCTTAAGCAGAGACTCCTTAAAATACTATGTTGACAGACGCCTGTAGTTACGTAAGAAGTGAGTGACTACCCCAGGAAGATGTAAAGTGGTTCTTTAACAACACTATCACAAATATAATGTTTCTATATAATTAATGAGGCATTCAAACAGATACCTTTCTCACTGTGTCAAATGATTTCCTAGAGTTCACTGTGGGGGAGCTAGGTGAAACTCTACACATATTTTATTTTAACTTGAGAATGATTAACTAAAATATCTCAATAAGAATTATGTAATTACAGGACCAGGTCGCAATCGCAGGTCAATAAAAAGATCATATTTAACTTCAAGCAACAGCAGCCCTCCATGTTATTAATGCTAGACTATACAGGCTTTTCAGGACTAATACAATTTCCTTGAGAGGAGAAACAAGAAATATATCCCAAGTTAACCTCACCCTCATTCCTGTGTCTGTTTCTCCCTCACATAATCATTAGTAGACACTGAAGAGTGCTGACTGGATGACTAAGCAACAACGACCCTACTATTTCAGCTGGTCGCTCTGCAAACACTTCTATGAATAAAAACAAGTGTTACCATGATAGTGACAGTCACAACAGAACTAAATAGCCTTGCTAAAGAGATTTGAGGAAATTGTTCTGAAATTCACCACCATGGACGCCAGGCAGCTGCCTGCAAAAAACTTGACATAAGCCTCAGTAAACAGCAAAAAAAGTAACATCTGTTATGATCATGTATTTTAGTATAAATACTTTTCTTTCATTTCAAGTTTCAAAAGTGAAACTGTCACATTATGTACTGTGACTGCAACATTTGCACCATAGCATAATGTCACTGTCATTAGTAGTGTAGCATAATGTGATTGTGGAAAAAAAATAAAAATTGTTTGTTATCATGGCTAATTGTCAAGTTTTAAAAATCTGTATCTGGTTGAACAATGTTCCAATTTAAGTTTTAATACCTAGGCTTTCTCAACTCAATGAGACACAAAGCAAATCACACTTACCAGGTTTCTTCTCACTTATAAGCCTCATAGTAAAGCAGAATATCAGCTCACTGGTGCATACAAAAAGAAGCACAAATATTTAAAACTATTTGAAACAAGCCTTTGGAGAAGAAAAAAAAAGCTCAGAATGCCTCTCAGTCTTGGAGATACTCGGTGACTTCACACAGTGAGAAAGAAAACTACACTTATCTACATCCTGCGTTAAAAAAAAAATGCACTGTTTTCCTCGGGTGATCTTTACTCACATCTTCTGAAAATGCTGGGTAAATAACGGGGCGGGGTCCCAACATATTCAACCCTGCCTGTCGAAGGGAAAGGGCCTAGACTAATTGGCTGAGACAAGCCAAGCCCACTTATCAGGAGCTTTTTCACCACCGGGAACCGACCAATCAGAGGCCACCAAATGCAACCTGAGGGCTGGTGAACACAAGACGGGTCTCCCTGACAACGGCAGACTTGGAAATTGGACAGATCTGCCTGCAGGAGTCACAAACCACCTCACCTGATCAAAACACTAGAAGGGTGACGATTGTGATCTAAAAACACAAATTAGCAACGCATAATAATAATAATAATAATAATAATAACATAAAGGCAGTGGGAGGAGGAGGACACATGATGGCTTGTTGCTGTCATTGCGACACGGGAGGGTTGTGCAAACCCCAGCTGACCTGTTGTGACAGTGAAGGGTTGCATTCATATGATTTTCTTATCACACAAACACAGCTCCCTCCTCCACCATAAAAGAAAAAAAAAATCACATATTAACCATGTGCACACTTTGCGATAGGGTTTTATAATAAGCTTGTTGACACTTACGTGGTCTGTGCCGTCTGACCGACTCCGTCCTCCGCCGTAGCCTGCACCTCTTCGCCGGGGAGCCGTGGCACTCCGCATCGTCCCCGCGGTGCAGCAGATGCATGTTCTCAAAGGGTCCGCTGTTCGCTCCGGTGCTCGAACCTAACGCATTATTACTACTGCTGCTGCAACAACTACCATTAGTGGCTACCGCGACGTGTCCGTGAAAACCCCGCTGGCTTTGCCCGTTGTTAACATGGAAAGGTCCCGTCGCTCCTTTCTTGTCCATCATCGACTTGGCTTTATCCATGACAGAAGCTAGCCTAGCTTAGCCTTAGCATCTGCAGCACCGACTTTGCCCTGCTTGAGCTTAGCTTAGCTTGTGTTAGCACCGCTGCTTTTTCAAATCGAGGGATTGCCACCCGACTTCACGTTAGAGCTAATTATTTTTTTCCTTATTTTACGTGTCTAACGCCAAAATGTCAAGTTAAAAAGCTTTGACGTTTGATGGAAATCAAAACAAAAATGCAAATGTTGAGTGGTCGCTAAAATACAGTGTTTCCTTTGAGGTCACTCGCGGTCATTTCCCCCCAACATTGAGACTGGAGCAGGCTCAGCGGCAGCCGGTGTCTATATGTGTTGGTTGACGGCTACGTCACAGCAGCTCCTCCAGTCGAGGCCCGAACCCGTTCACCTCCTCCGACCGGTTTTTTTTTTTATCTTTCTGCGGTAAAATAACTCTGTAATGTCAGAGCACATGCAAAAAAAATAAATAATAATGAATCGGTATGTGCCGCACGCAGCTTAACAATGAAACTCGGTTGCTGCCTGGAGGTGTATTAAACAATAAAAAAAAGACACACCCGCCCGCACACATTGCCAGACCGTGCAGCTGTGCATTGCTTTATGTATAAAACTCGCTGTTCACCGACATCCTCGTCATTCCCCGCAGTCGTCTCTCTGCGTGAAAGCTACCAGTCACTGTCGGTGAATAAAATGCACCGTAGTAACCCTGCAGCTGCATGTGAAACAACCAATCATAGAAGGGTTTCTTTCAGGAACGAAAAGCCTTTTGCTGTCATGCAGAGCTTGTTAAAATCATGTTTGATTTTCAATGCAGAGTGAACAGTCTCCATTAGAATTAGATGATAAAGGAAATTGAACGAATGCAATAAGATAGAACAATTATGGTCTGTTTTTATTTGCATGTAGTCGCGCTTAGCTTCGAACCACTTTAAAGGGCCTTGTGATTAACATTTCAAGAGATACCTGATATCAAATAAAGCATTAGATAAAAGGATACAAAGGTCAAACAACAATGTCAGATAGATGAAGGAAAACGAACACGTGAGCCAGTGAGAACACACGATTTTTTTTTGTTGTCTTCTTTAGTAGTTCATGTCTGTTTTCAATTAAAATCCTTATGCATCAAACGCTACAGATGATAAGCCATTATGTTTTTAAATGTTTTTTCTGCAGTTAATCTTCCCACAAAATGGATCACAATGCAGTGCTATTGAAACACTCTTGTAAATGTGCCGACTACATCGAAATTACGCGAGAATATGATTCTAACAGCCAAAGCAACAACTGATCAAATGATGTAATACCTTGTGAAAATGTTAAAGGGTACCATTTAGAGAAAAATTACAATCACTGATTTTAGATTGTTTGATATCCTATCACTATTACCACCCTATTAGCCACCACAAAATTCTCAAATATACAAATATCAACATTTACATTATTCCAAGAAATACTGCCATCTACTGGTCACTAAATGTAATAGTCTGTGTCGTTAAAGGAGCTTTATCTGTCATTGAAAGAAATGTCACGATTTTTTTCGAACAGTTCAAAAGATGAGCTGGCTTTTTCACAAACTCTGAAACACTCAATTGTTATTATTAGTCATGGCTTTACGACAAAGTTGTAACAACAGTCTAATAAATTAACTTGGTAACCCAGACTTGGAAAGAATCAGGTCAACGTTTAAAAAAGTGTAAAAATCCCCTAACAGGATTGAGTTCAGTCAATCAGGCCAATTAAAAGCAGCCCTCTGTGCTCAAAGCATTCTCTCGTTTTCTGTAAACAACACCTGCTCACTTTGCCCCTGAAACCACCTCTGTACAACAACAAGAAAAATGTCAACGATCCACAAATTAGCCTTAATTTGTACCTTTTGAATACAGTTTTGAAGCCCTTGAAGCCTGAAATGTGTTCCTCCCTTTGAGAAAAAGTGTTGAAATCCAATTGGGTAACATAGAAGACCCACTGAGACTGATCAGTCATGTTGGCCAAAACACTTCCAGCTAAATTTAGTCTCCAGGTGCTGCTCTATATACAGTATGTATTCCTTTTTTTTTTGTCTTCAGCAATGTTTTAATGAAACAATCTTCAAGAAAACAACGTTATGGTTAAAGCTGTTACTCATGACTTCTCTCACCAAATGTCACAGCAAAAAAAAACATTTTATTCCATATTTAAGTAACAACACAGCAAGACATTTCTGAAATTTATTAAGGCATCTCATTCACATTAAAACAAATTAAGGTCTATTTTGAAATACGCATTTATTAGCTATCTTATCAAAAATTAGATGAGAAGACCAGTTACACTCTCATGTTTGCTTGACACAAAGCTAAAGCTATACGATGACGGTCAGCTTAGCATAGCATTAAGACTGGATACTACAAGTCAAAGTTAATCCAAAGTGTGAGAAAAGTCAGGACTGGACCTGTTTAAGAAATATGCTGACCTCCACTCTTTAAACCAAATTTTCAAGACACAGTTGAGGTAGAAGTCACTAACTATAAGCCTGTTCAGAAGATCAACTAGCAGATAAACCCCTTTTAAAACTACAGTCAAGAATGTAATTGTGAGTGTTTGTTATTAATGGTCAACCAAAAATGTGTCTATGATGTGCTACACTTGGTCATTAGCATAGCAATGTATCCTAAGGCAACATGTGGTCTTTATGTGATGGCTTTATCATTATAAATATCAGAGGTTATTTTAGCACTCTGTGAGGTAGTTGAAGAAGTCTCTCTCTGTCTTTGACTCCCCTAGTCTCAATTGAGGACACTTTTCAAATTAAGTCCAGCCTAATGCACAGTGTAAAAAGTGCTGTGAGATTAAGCATCAGAACACAGTCAAGTTGATTCATCTCACTCGTTCTCCATTTAATGATTCTACCAAGGAAGTTCAGAGCCATCCCAGTTGTATGCCTTGCCAGTCTTTTCAATATTTAGTGTGTCTATGATGCTCATCAGACATTTCACAGATTTTTCAGTACTGAAAAGCTTGTCTTCGGGTACGTTCCTGTGATAGGGGCGGGAGAGATCTGTGTTCACTGTTCCTGGATGTAAAGACACGCATACCACCTGGGAAAAAAAATCAGGAAACAAGGAAGAAGAAAAAAATAGGTTACTGATCATCTCCACTACTGTGTTTCCACTACTTGTTAATGATACTTCCAGAGATAAACAAAAAAAAAAGATAGAAGAATGATAAAATGTACCTTTGGTCGACTGCGGCCCAGCTCTATAGACAGATTCCTGGTAGCCATGTTGAGAGCTGCTTTAGACATTCTGTAGCTGTACCAGCCACCAAGACCTGAGGAGATAGGAAACATTAATGTGCACACATTACCACAGATGTTAAAATGAGGGTACTTATTCTGTATTTAAGGGTTCAAATTGACCCTTTTCATGCATCCATTTCCCCTGGTTTCTACACTATAGGATATTTAAAAATGGTTTCCCCCCCAATAACTGCAACACATTACCATTGTCCCCAATCGATCCGACTTTGGCTGTGATGTTAACGATGATGCCACTGTGCTGCTTAGCTTTTTCTGCAGGCTGCTGTCCGAAACCACCTCCACCCTTCTGGAGTAGGGGGGCAAAATACTTGGCCATGACCAATGGACCCACTGTGTTAGTCGTCAAGGTAGAGATGATGCCCTGATAGGGAAAAGAGGTCAGTCATCAAAGATCAACTTCAATTCATCAAATTAAATCAATTTAGGCGCATAGAGAGAATTTAGATGAGAGGAATGAAGGAATTGATGGGTGTGGTAAGTAACCAAATTATTCTTTCCATGACGCCATGACATATGAAGAAATAAATCCGATATTTAACAATTCAGCATTAATTGTTTATGTTCTGTTGTCCTCTGCGGCGTAGGACTGACAAATTAAAGAAGGCAAACCCAATTTTTTGAATCAATGTGATCGCATATAATGCATTGTCTGCTACCACCACTTTAAAGGTAGCCTACTTGTCACAACAGGTCTGTGCATTTTCCGATGGGTAATCATTTAATATGAACTGCCAGAATTGTGTTGCAGGTTTTGCAGGGTAATTCCCCTGACATTGACCTGATGGCCTACAGGTATGTCAGTCGAAGGAGCCATTTGGTAGTCACGGTTGTCGGTCTTCAGTTGTTAGTTTCAGCAGACTAACGCGACAATACATACATACTATATTAAGGATGCTTTCAAGCAAATCTAGTATCACCAGACATGAGAATATCTTACTTAATTCTTTCAGGATGACAAAGGTGCTCAAATTGACCTTTTATAAAGCATTAGGCTACCTTAGCAGAAACATCTCTGAGGCTGGTCTCTCCTTTCCCGGAGGGGTGAAGCATTGCTGAGGAGTTGACGATCAGATCCAGCCGACCGAAGCTCCCCTTAACCCACTCCGCAGCCCCCTGGACGTCTTCCTCCCGGGTCACGTCCAGCCGCACGACCGTCAGTCTGCCCGGGTTTTGGACTTCCAGGGCCCGAAGCTCCCCGGCTCCGTCCGGGTTTCGGCATGTCGCTATAACGGCAGCTGGGCTTTTGCTTTTCAAGATATGTTTGCAAAATGCAAGCCCCAGTCCTCTGCTGGCCCCTTGAATGAGCGCAACGGGGGCAGCCATGACAGTTAATGACTACACTGGAGGTGAATGGAGAGAGAATTAGTGTTTGCTTTCTTCAGGTTCCCCCCAAAACTCGTAATTTTGTATTTTTGAAGAGAGATGAGAAGGAATGCTTTATGACAAGTACATTTTAAAGGCAACGTGAGTGTCTTAATCCATTTGCCTACAACGGTGCTAAAGTGTGTTAAAAAAAACAAATTCTAACCTTTGGAAAATATATCTGTATAAAACTTACATGAGAACTTGAAGGCAGCATGTTTCACAACAAGGTAGATACGCCCTCTGTTGGTCACAATGGAAGCACTTACACAAGTCGGCTTATTATCGTTCATTAGAGTGCATGAGAGTGCCTTATCCAAAAAAAAAAACGTAAAAATCTTTCTCTATCGTTTAATTCGATTTTTAAATGTATTAGGTTGGTTAAGAAAATGTATCAGTGATTGTTTTTATTTCACTCCAGCCCAACAGGTGGCGGTAATGTACTGGAAACCGAGTTTTCAAGAATCCTGAAAGGAAGTATTGTAAAAAATGTGGATTGATAAAAAAACATTATGCGCTTTAAATGCACCAATAACACGATTAAAATAGTGTAATATGTTTACAAACGAGCAATACAAAATAAAATAAATTGGTCATTACTGACGATCCTTAAACCTGGTCGAGCCCGGAGCGGATCCCGGTTGCTTAGCGACCAGAGGAAGTTTAGCGTCTGCTGGCTAGCTAGGCGAGCTGCGAGCCCATGGATTTTTACCTCATAATACAGAGAAAATGCCACCTAAAAGAAAAGGACCTCTTCAACTCGCCCAAAGAGAAGTTGACGAAATAAAAAAGCAGGTTTGTTGCTGAATGGCTTTTCTTGTTTGCGTCACACAGTTATGTTTTAACTTAGATTTGAATGTCACACACAGAACAGACAGGTTTAACTTTTCTAAATCAGAGGCTCTGTTATCCAATTCTGTGAAAACATCTTCTCAAATGTACTTTTCCCTTCAACAGCCGAGTGTGAATCAGATGTGGTCATCTGTACTGTAGTTTTCTACAACAAAGTCTGAATATTTAGATGTGCTTAGCATCTATTTACCACGTTTATTTCAGTACGCCATGTAAACAAAGGCAAAAGAGGAGAGCATACCAAATTAAATTCCTTTGACTGATGAGTCTAAGACACATTTTGTACATGACAATGTTAGAAAGGCATTATAACTTGTTGGAAAATTAAGATATTAAAGAAATGATTATCAACTTCAATTGGATTGTTGGAGGGTTAAACACATACAAAGGAAAGACTCATAAGCGGGTCTGTATGTTACCCTGAACACATCTAGAATATATAGTATGTGTTTACCAGAAGTGTAATGTAAAACACAGATTATTTACATTGTATAGTTACAGATATAAATCAAGGTTGAATGTCTTGTTTTCACTGTGAATGAATTTGTTGTTCTTCTAACAGGTTGACAGTCTGACAAAGGCTGTGCACAGTCATGGTGGATCCACTGAAGAGGCATTTCGGAGGTAAGCAGCTGCAAAAGATCCTCAGCAATGCATTCTTTTACTTGTTTTTTTCCTTTTCAGACTAGTGCCTCATCCAAACTAGCTCTCTATTGTATGGACATTGGCTTTGCTTGCTTTCATTCAATTCCATTTTTCACACTATCGTGATTTACCAGTAGTGAATTTGACTGCCCTTTTAATGTAATGCTTTTGGGGTTTGACGTTCTTGTTAATGTGAATTTCAAAAACAGATGTCAAGAGCTGCAGCTATCTGCGGAGAAAACACAGAGGACCCTGAAGAATCTGACCAAGGTTAGTCAGTAAACTTTTAAATTAAAGATTCTGTATCTTCTCTGAAGATGGGATTGCACAATTATTCAGTTCAATTTGTCGATGACAGGTATTTCAAGCAACCAGTGCAGTTACATATATTAATTGTTTGTATCCTTAAATGGAGGAGCTGCAATACAATAATCATGTAACACAATTACAAAATCATCGCCAGACTGATAGTTGTTAAGGTTTGCAGCTTTGTGATTTGGTCATGGACTGTGGAGTTTTGGAAACAAATCAATTAAAGCACTTTTGAAAATTTGAAAAGAAATCCACATATCACAGAGTACTGCTTCTTAGTATATTGTTTTTGTTCTTGTAAAATAGACTTTACTAACCAGCTACATTGACATCATATTTTGTTGCTTTTTTTAAGGCTGACGAGCCGGCACCAGTGGGGAATTATGATCAGAGGAAACAGGAAGAGGAGGGACGACTGCAGAACCTTTTGGAGCGCATAAATGTGCTCTCTCTGGAGCTTTCACCTCCAGGACCCAGTACTACTGCAGGGTCAGTGACCCATTTACTGCAAAGAGAAAAACAAAACGATGCTAGAGCTCGTTTATGATCATTGAATTCATTTTATACATGCCCTCTTTCTTTAATATGTATATATAATCTCTTTCTTATTGTTGTTGCCTGAATTTTAACATTTTGATCTACAGCGTTGTTTCAAAAGAAGAAAGTGAGGATAATGATGAAGACAGTGATGATGATGAAGACAGTGATGATGAGGATGATGTAGATGATGATGAAGATGAGACGGAAGC